GTGTGTGTGTGTGTGTGTGTGTGTGTGTGTGTGTGTGTGTGTGTGTGTGTGTGTTAGCAATATATCTCATGAATCACTGGGTTGATTTTTATGAAAATATATATCAGAGTACCAGTAAACATAGCCAGACTGGAACATTTCTGGTGTGGGCCAGATGGCTGCTGGTCCATCAAATAGTTTGTGAGCTGGATGTGGGCCAGGTCTGTCCATGTTTGCACTGTCTACATGATGGCATGCCATGACTGGCCCAGTTGTGATCTGTTTTATGCGGTGCTGGCTTATGCATGGACCACCTCTGGGCCACCAAAAGGTGGTCATTCTTTGCAGTATCTGTGCCAAGTGTCAGTGCATTGTGTGGGCCAGCAATGGGCCAGCTAAGTTTGCTTTATGGGTAGGAAATATGAAGTTTTGTGAGTTTTGCTTTTTCAGCTGCATTTTTGTAGAAAGGAGGGAAAACGCTTCTCAGTGACTTTGTTAACAGGTTTTTTTCTCTGTTTTAGGTACGTTTCAGACCTTTAGAGAAACCATCACAGTTTGGCGGGCAGGAGTGTGTTCAAACGCTGTGGGACAGGCTGGCATGTCCGAGAGCGACCACACAGTGTCTGGTGCCCGACCACTGTGGAGAGAGCTTCACCTGCAAAGAAACAGGCGAGTCTGGCCGACAGCCAAAAAGACAACATGCTGGTGTGTTTGAGGGTCTGAACCTTTCTTTGTGTCTCCAGGCCGCTGCATTAGTCAGTCCCTTTGTTGTAACGGAGAACCGGACTGCGATGATTCTTCTGACGAAGATCAGTGTGAAGATTTCAACCGAAGAGAGGATAAGTGCTCCACCTTCATGTCAATTCCTGGAGCTGAACGAGGCACACAGGGGTAAACGCTGCAGTCATGAAAGGAATATTCTGCCTGCTTTAAAGTTGTGTGCTGTGGAAAAGGTATGAGCAATTAAAATCCTATTTAACTCACTGAGCAGCCCCAGCTTAGAGAAACAAAACTGAAAAAATTGACTTTTTTTCCACATTGTAGACTCCAGCGGGAAGAAACCTCATGCAGTACGCATGCTGCAGCGGGAGGGGTTCCCCAGGAGCTCGGCTCATTGGGCCTCATGCAAGAACCGTTCATACGCACAGATTTGTTCTTAAGTTGTGCGTACGAGTGATTTAGGAGAATTTGTGGCATTCACCAATGTTTTCGTATTCTAACATTTATTTCCGATACGAATAAAATTCACATGTGGTCCAGACCTGTCATATATTTTACGAGCAGTCAGTCTGCTGTTATCCAGACG